GACCTTTAAAAGTGAGGATGTCATTGTTGAAGGTTCAATCAGACAATGCAGTTTTCATAGAGAGGGGTAGGGTGGGATTGGATAGGGCATCAATAGTTTTCTGGACTACTATGTCAACAGATGAGAAGACCTGAAGTTTGTTATGCATTGCAGTATTGATCAGGTTGACAAACAACCCATCAGGCAGCATATTGACATCTGAATTGTCAGTAGCATCAATGGGAGGATGGTCTGGCCTTCGAGACAGAGAGTCAGGTACAGACAGATCTTTGCCTAGTATGTGTTGGAGTTGGAGATCAAAACAGAAGAGGAAGAGGAACCAATGAGCTTGTCGTCTATTTAGCTGTTGAGCTTAGCAGAAATATGTCAAGTTTTTGTGGTCAGTCATGACAAGGACTGGAAATGGAGATTAATGAGTGGTCAAGCAATGGTGGAGTAGTCAGTGATGAAGTGGTGGTAGAAATTGGCAAATCCAAGGAATGATCAAACATGTTTGATGGTGGTAGGTTTTTCCCATTTGACAACACCATCTAACTTGACTTTGTCCATACAGATATGACCAGGATGGATAAGGAGACCAAGATATTCAACTTTATCCATAGTAAAAGACACATTATTTAGGTTTAAGGGAGAGTTGATGGTCATGAAGTTGTTGTAAGACTTGAGCAGTGTGTTCATGATGAGATTTGATGTCTTTGGAGAAAGTGAGAATATCGTCCATATAAATGACCATCCAACCTTCATCTAGCATGTTAGAGAAGATGTTGTTCATCATTGCTTGGAAGGTGGCTGGAGCATTACAGAGACTGAAGAACATGACAGTAGGTTCAAAGAGACCTTGTGACATTTTGAATGTGGTTTTCCATCTATCTGGTCCATGAATGCGAACATTGTTGTACCTTGTGTGAACATCCATCTTTGTGAAGATTGTTGCACCTTTTAACTTGTAAATGAGGTCAGGAATACGAGGGAGAGGGTAAGCATCTTTTATGGTTGCATCATTAAGTTTTCAATAGTCTTGGCAGGGTCAGAAGGATCTGTCTCTCTTCCCTACAAAGAAGAATGGGGATGCTTGTGGGGGTTAAGATGGTACAATAGTACCCTTCACCAAATGTTCATCAATGAACACATTCATAACTTTTTCCTTGGGTGCAGATAGTGGATAGATTTTGCATGACCTTGGTTTAAAATTGGGCTTGAGTTTTATCTTATGGTCAAAGGGTCAAGTAGGAGGAAGGGTGTCCATTGCTGCTTTGTTGAAGACATCTTTGTGCATATGAAAAACTTCTGGTATAAGTTTTTCAAACATCTTTGGTTTTTCTTTAGCATAGGCTTCTTGTGGTAGTTATTAAGCAACATTTGCAGCTTTGCGAATTGGAGTCAGGGAGAAGATGAATCTGACAGAGTTTGGGACTTTAAAGATTCTGTTTGTCCAGGAGATGAAGGAGAATGAAGTGGGAATGTGTTTGTGAGTGAGTGGTGTATCAAAATTGGTTTCTCATAGACCCCTATGAATTCTTCTCCTTTGATATAATCAATAAGAATGTTAAGACCATGCTAAGGGGTAAGGTAGAGTCTGAGGGGCTTGGTTTCAGCTCATGCATTGTGCCCTTACCTGAATACCTGCCCCTAATTTTGAAGTGTAGTCTAACAAGAGTTCTATGAGCTTTGACAGAATGTTGGAGCAGAGGCTCTCTGAAGGAGGGCTGATGGACTGCTGGATGAGCATGGGAAAGTTGGGTGGAGATTGGACTGCCGGATGGGAGAGAAGTGGAGAACTACTGTAGTTAGAACTAACAGTAGAAGCAGAGCAGAAAAGACTGCTTGGATGAAGACCGAAGCAGAATGAAAACAAGGAGGACAGATGTATGAGAGCACTAGCTCAAGTCCGAAGGGCAGGGAAGGTGGCTGAGGTGTGGGCAGTCTAACAGGCAGAGAAGGTAGCTGACCTAGGGGGTCAATCCCCTATGTCAACAAACAGGAGTTGACAAGGATAATACCTAAGTCCAGAAACAGAAGAGCAAGGCTTAGAAAAGGTAATATTCAGACTGAGTATCTACAGACAAATGTACATATGTTTATATACTCTAAGTAAGTAGCATAGCATAGCAGGAGGCTATGTGCTGAGTGTACAGTATTACAAGAAGAATGACTGATACATATAAAAGAAGGCTTGAAGAACAATATGTATGCAATGGATCAATAATCACTCAGGTATAGAAATTACCAGTGATCCAAAAGGAGAAACTATAGTACCATGTGCCCCTAATTTTGAATTGTAGTCTGACTTGAGTTCTATGAGCTCCAACAGGACGTCAGAGCAGAGGCCCTCTGAAGGAGGGCCAACAGACTACCAGGTGAGTGTGGGAACATCAGGTGGAGGTTGGTCCACCTGACAGGAGAGACTCGGAGGACTACTACAGTTGGAGCTAACAATAGAAGTGGAGTGGAGGAGACAGCTTGGACAAAGTCCAAAGCAGAAAGGGAACATGGAGGACAGTTGTACAAGAGTATTAAGTCGGACAAGTGGAGAAGGTGGCCAACCTAGGGAGTCAATCCCCTAGGCTGGCAGATAGGAGTTGTCAAGGGATTTTGCCCAAGAACAAGAGCAAGAGAGCAGGGCTTAGAAAAGGTAATACTCAGACTAAAGATCTACAGACAAATGTACATGTGTTTATATACTCTAAGTAAGTAGCATAGCAGAAGGCTATGTGCTGAATGTACAGAATTACTAGAAAGATGACTGAGACATACGAGAAAGAGGCTTGGTGTCATATACCTGATCCGACCACTCCGATATTGATATCCACTCCAATATTGATATCCGCTCCGCTTTCCGACCCCCTCCGCTCCATCCATCCTCCACTCCATCCTATTACAAGCCTGCATTCCACCCTACACTTCCGCTCAACCGCTCAACTGGTCCCCTTCCATAAACCTCTCCATTCAACTGGACCTCTTTCCCCTTTTAGATAGACCCTTACTTCCGGATGACTGGTAATTCCTATTACCGCTCGATCGCTGATCCGACGCGTACATATTGATATCTGCTCCGACTTATGTCTTCACCTATGTAAAATACTTACAAACTATATCCTTGGTACATAGCTTTACTACATAGTTATCATGATCACTGCCTCATACATAGAAGTATATAACATATCCTATACTTAGATATTTTCCTTAGTCTTAATATTACTTGTTTTCTCACAGTTACATCTTGTGAGGATTCTCAGTAGGACCTTGCCTCCTCTGGACACAAGTCTCAACTTGTTGTCATCTCCAATCCTCCGACCCTCCACTCCAACTTAGAGCCGTGCTCTAAGTCCTCTCCTTATTACTCCGCCCCTATCAAAAATCCTCCTTCACCCCTCCGCATTATCTTCTGCCTTCCCTGCCCCTACCATCATTCCCCTGCTCCTATCCACTCTCCACATCACCCCTTGCCTTCTCTGCTCCGCTCCTAGTTGGCCTGCCGCTAGCAGCTCTTACTCCCCGACCCTCAAAGCGGACCAAAGCGGACCATCTGTCCAACCGTCGGACAATGTCGGACCCGCTCCAAATTCGGGGCACATACTCAGCTAAGGGTGCAGCGCAAGAGCTGAAGCCAAGCCCCAACCCCTCTGCTTCCTGAGTCGGCATGGTACCTAACACTTAGAGAACAGTATGTACGCGACAGATCAATAATCACTCGGGTATAGGGATTACTGGTGACCCAACAGGAGGAACTATGATACTAAAGGGAGATAGGACCAGTTGAGTGGTTCCTAGTCTAGGAGTGGACTGGTGAGGTGGTCGGGCAGACCAATCATCAGGTGGAACAACATGAGAGAAACTGAAGGAACCAAGTGGGTCGGAAAAGTGGAGATGGAGGGGGGAGTAGGAGTAGGATTGGGTGGACCGATAGGGCAGAGGAGCAGAGCTCCAGATAGGGTCAGATAGTAAGGATATAGTGTCAGAGGATATAGGGGTATTGTCAGAGGAGCGGAGCAGAGTCAGGCAGAGGTAGCAGGGCTAGCACTGCTGAGATGCACTTCATGCATGTTAATGTCGTGCTCAAGGTAAAGGTAACTCAAAGGGCTCACCTTCAGCTCGTGCACTGTGCCCCTTACCCGAGTATGTGCCCTTGATTTCCAAGAGGCAGAGGGGAAGTCTGATGGAAGTCTGGGTAAGTTCGGTGGTCAGACACAGGAGGAGTTCAGCAGAACTCTGGAAGGCTAGGAGTGAATGGAGTAAGACTACTTTGGACAAGTCCGGAGTAGAAACGCAACAGAGTTTAGACTACCCTAAGGTAGAGCTGGAGTTGTAGTCTTAAGGATTAACCCTAAGACTCGGAGGTGGACAAGAGATCAACTCAAGTCCAGAGAAGCAGGAATGAGCAGAACTAAGATGATATTTGAACTGAGGAGTACCAGAGCTTTACAGGAGTTTACATACTGTAGGTATCATGTAAGTAATTAGTCAGTGTTAAGGTTGTGCTCAAGGGAGAGGTTACTCAAAGGGCTTCAGCTTCAGCTCGTGCACTGCACCCCTTACCCGAGTACGTGCCCTTTAATTTCTGGGGGACAGAGGGGAAGTCCAACAGAAGTCCAGGGAGTTCCGGAGGACTTAGTGTCAGTGGAGTTCGGCGGAACCCCAGGAGGTTTATATGGGGGACGAAGTAAGGCTACTATGGAAGTCTGGAGTAGAAACTGAACAGAGGTTAGACTACCCTAAGGTAGAGCCGGACATCAGGAAAATGTGGTAAGGCTATATAGCCACCCATAGCACTATAGACTGCTATACAGACTCCATAGCCCTATAGCTCATATAGCCAAGTGCCCAATTGTGCAGGCTTACTACACCAGTGTATAGTGCTATATAGCTCTATTAAAGTTGCTATAGTTGGGTGGAACATACCACAACTATTGTAGCTATTGTAGCTCTTATAGCTCAAAACACAAAGCAAAAATTTCTCTTAATAGCTGTTTGTTGCCATGATAGTGTTCTCAAAATTAAAAAAAGCGAAAATTCCAAATTATATTTCAACTGCTACAATACATGTAAACTAATAACTACAAAACAGGCAAAAATGCGAAAATTACAGGAGGAAGAGGCAAGAGAACTAGAAGGAAGAATCAGAGAGGAAAGAACTTACCAAATAGTGAAAATTGCGAAAATTCTTGAGGGAAGAGGAGGGAAGGGAGCTAGAAGGAGAGGATTAGACAGGAGGAAGTGAGAGTCAGAGAAAAGACTTGCCAAATGGTCAAAAATGCGAAAATAGTTGGGGGGAGGAGGAGCAGGAGGGAAGAGAGCTAGAAGGAGAGGGTTAGAAAAAAGATTAGTCAAATAGTCAAAAATGCGAAAATTATGGAGGGAGACTTACCAGAGTTCAAAGCACCAGCACCAGTACCAGCACCAACAACATCAACACCAAGAGAAGGATAGAGAAGCAAGAAGAAGAGAAGAGAGGCAAAAACTCGAAAATTGTAAGAGAAATATGGAAGATAATCTAATGAGGGGGCAGTGGGGGGGAAGGAAAGAGTGGGAAAAGACTTGTTGGTTGACCGCATTTTTGCTTACATAAGCAGTGCCAAACAAAGCCACAACACAAGACTTGGTGAATTTTCGAGTTTTTGCTTATTAGGACTAGGATTATGACAGTAAGAAAAAGACAATGAAATTGACTGTTAGCATTAGGATTTTGAATACACATAAGGTGAATTTTCGCATTTTTGCTTACATAAATAAGGTGTACCTTAACACTTTTGAACCCTTCAATTCCAAGTATTTTCCTTATAACTCACTAAGATCTTGACCTATTGAAGTCATTAGACTATGGATAGACTTCCCTTGACAAGGACTACAACTTTGATTTAATCGAAAAAGGTTCCCACGGTCAAGTTGCTTTCTTGAACCCTTCGATTTCGAGTATTTTCCTTGTAACTCACTAGGATCTTAACCTATTGAAGTCATTAGACTATGGATAGACTTCCCTTGACAAGGACTACAACTTTGGTTTTCATCGAAAAAAGTTCCCACAGTCTACTGGGGTCTATAGTTGTTGAAATGTTTTACTTCTAAATACACTTACCAAACTTTATGGTAATATAGACTTTCATGATGTCTATACTGGTCTATAGTGCTGTGATAGCTTGTGATAGACTGTATAGAGCTGTGGTGTGCTATCGGGGCTATATAGAGGATGGTCCTCTATATAGAGATACAGTTTTTCCTGATGGAGAAGTAGTCCTAAGGTTTAACCCCTAAGACTTGGAGGTGGACAAGAGATGAGACTCAAGTCCGGAGATTGCAGGAATGAGCAGAACTAAGATGATATTCAAACTGAGGAGTTCCGGAGTATTGCAGGGGTTTATATACTGTAGGTATCATGTAAGTAAATCAGTCAGCAAAGGTAAGGGCTATGTACAAAGCATGTGGAAAGTCTATTACTAAGTATAATGGATCAAAGCAGTGAAGTCAGAAATGAAGTAAGAATGGACGGATCAGTAAGCATAGCGGAATAGGACATAACTGGTAACCAGAGCAATAGTTAATCTAAAAGGAGTTAGGGGTGAGTGCGGAGATGAAGGTGGAGCGCCAGGTGGAATAGTAAGACGGAGGAATGGACTTCAATGAAGTAGATCCGGAATTCCGGATCCGGAGGTATGGGATATGACAGTCAGCAAAGTAAAAGCTATGCCCGAAGCATGTGGAAAGTCTATTAGTAAGTGTATAATGGATCAAAGCAATGAAGTCAGAAATGAAGTACAAACAGACAGGTCAGTAAGCAAAGCAGAAAGGTATACAACTGGTAGCCGGAGAGCAGTATGCTAAAAGGAGATAGGAGTAAGTCCAGAGATGAAAGTGGAGTGCTGAACGGAGAATAGCATGAAGACCTGGAGTTTCATAGGGGAGCATCCAGAATTCTGGGTCCAGAGGTGAGGGATATGACAGTGCATTTGTTGGAGAAGGAGGGATGGAGCAGATGGGGAAACAGGGGGTCAGACCAGCAGTAGGGATGTCCACAGGTAGTATTGGAGATGCTTAGACCCGGTATATGACACCATGGATGTCTGAGCATGATGTCTTTACCTCCAAGAGACATAATAAGGAAAGTGGCAGACATGGTGCAGCCACCAGCTGAGAAGAACAGGTTACATGCTTTAGAAATAGTTCTTGCTTTGTTCTTTGTTCCATCCACATTCTGGACTTCAATTTGTGAAGGGAGATTGTGAGTACTGAAATTGTTCTTTCAAATGTACTTCCAGTCAATGAAGGTTCCTGCAGCACCTGAATAGATAAGGGTGGCTGCTTCAGTAGTTTTATTGGCCTTGTAGGATTTAATTGAAATAGGAATGCACATAGAATTTGAATTGCCTACAGAAGATACAATGAGTCCAATAGAAGTACTAGGGGTTTCTGACACTAGTCTGGTCTCCCCATTTAGAAAGGAATCTTTTTCCTAACCAGGATTGCTTCTTGAACTTCCTTTTTCAAATCTTGTTGGAAGCACACTGCTTTGACGTCTTCATCAATTACGGTTGCTTCCACAGAGACTTGTTGGAAGTACAAAATGTATGTCAATATGGAGCCAGTTTGTCTTGCTTTTATAAGCAATTGGATGGCATTGAGAATGTGATTCTTTGGGTAGAACACATTCTTGAATGTGCTTCCAAAGTCTTCCCATTTGCCTAATGGGTCTTCCTCAGTGTACATCTTGCTCAACCATGCAGTTGCCCATTGTAGACCATGTCCTTTCTGCATGAATGTCATATCCCATAGCTCTGTACCTGGAATTCCAGACTCTCCCCTATGAAAGTCCAGGTCTCTGTCCTGTTCTCCATCCGGTGCTCCATTTTTCGTCTCTGGACTCACATCTATCTCCTTTTAGAATACTACTCTCCGGCTACTGGTTGTACACCTTTCTGCCTTACTTACTAATAGACTTTCCATATGCTTCAGGTATAGCTTTTCACTTTGCTGACTGATTACTTACATGATATCTACAGTATATAAACTCTCATAAAACTCTGTACCTCCTTAGTTTGAATATCATCTTAGTTCCTGCTCATTCCTGTTTCTTTGGACTTGAGTCTGATCTCTTGTCCACCTCCAAGTCTTGGGTTTATTCCTTAAGACTATATATCTGGTTCTACCTTAGGGTAGTCTATCTCTGTTCCATTTCTACTCTGGACTTGTCCGAAGTAGCCTTACTCTATTTACTCCTAGCCTTCTGGAGTTCTGCCGAACTCCCCCTGTGTCTGACCTCCAGACTTACCCAGACTGCCATTAGACTCCCCTTCTGCCCCTCAAAAATTAAGGGCACATACTTGGGTAAGGGGTGCAGCACACAAGCTGAAGCCAAGCCCTTTGAGTTACTCTTCCCTTGAGCATGACCTTAACAATGAAGGACATGGCAAAGGCAATGCACTTTGCATTGGTGTTGTAGCTGTTGTTGTTATTGGTGACATAGGTGGTTACTGCCATAAAAAAGGCTTTGGCATTCTTCTGTTTTCTGTTAAACAGAAGTGGTTTATTTAAGTTAAGTTCTCCCATTTCATTGTCTGTGTCTGTGTTGGAAGAGTTATTGGGTGGTAATGGTGTAGCTAGAGCTGAGGGAGTGTCTGGTCTGAATCCAGGTAAAAATTCTGATCTGTTGCTACCTTTGGGGTAGTATTCTGCCAGTTTCCTATAGGCTAGGATGTCTAAAAACTATGGAGGTAGTTGTTAGAGACCATGCTCAGACAGAGAAGTGAAGGGGTTGGGGCTTGGCTTCAGCTCTTCCGCTGTGCCCTTAGCTGAGTATGTGCCCTGAATTTGGAGCAGGTCCAATGATGTCCAACGATAGGACAAGTGGACCGCTTAGGTCTGCTTTGTTGGGTCAGGAAGTAAGTGCTGCTAGTGGTAAGCTGACTAGAAGCAGAGCAGAGGAGATAGAGGAAGTTTACTGGGACGGAGGGGAGTAAGGGGATTGATTCATTGAGTCGGAGAAGTAAGAGTGAATACTTAGAGTGCGGCTCTAAGTCAGAGTGGAGGGTCAGAGGTGACAACAAGGTATACTTGTGTCCGGAGAGGGAGCAAAGTCCTACAGAGAATTCCCACTAGTAGAGACAGTGGGAAGACAAGTAATATTAAGACTGGGGAGTAGCTAAGTACAGGATATGTTTTATATACTTCTATGTAGGAGGCAGTGACTAGTTAGTCCTTGGTATGAGGCTATGTAACAAGTATACAATTTGTAAGTGAACACAGGCGAAAAACATAAGTTGGGGCGGATATTAATATGTACATGTCAGATCAGCTAGTTGAGCAGTTATAGGAAGTACCGGTGATCTGGGAAGTAAGTACTATGTGCAAATGGGGAAAGTATATACCCAGATGGGGAAAGGAGATCTACAGTAGAATGGATGGTGTGGAAGGCAACCGATGAGGCGGTCGAGCAGAGCCATAGGAGCGGATGTGGGAGTCGACTGGGATGAGCAGAGGGCAGACGGAGCGGAGGGGGTAGAAAAGTGGGGGAAGTGTGATTGTTGGGTGGAGTGGATATCAATAAGTGGAGCAGTCAGATCAGGTATATGACAGTAGTGTCAATTGTAAGAGAGCTTAACCTGTTGTTACACCAAGTGTAACACAGACAAAAAATCAATAACAAGACAGTCAGTCTTGTGATACGTTCTAGACAGTAGTCTTTAAGAACATCCAAAGTCAAAGTAATAGCTAAGAACCAAAGAAGTATCTTAGAATCAAGTTATAGATGTCAAAGGAAAATTGGCATAGGTTAAGCTGAAGAATCAGCATTACCCAGCTATGGTTTATATAGTATACAAGGTACAGGGTATGACATAATAATAGGTAATGATTAGTAAGCAACATGTGTAGGCAATGATGTGTCTGAGTCACACCAAACTAAATATAGGCTGATAAGAGACATGCCTAGTAAGCATAGATCAAAGGTAAAAGAAGAAAAGAAGTCCATGTAACACAGCTGTAACAGAATGTCTGTTTGAGTCTGCCCATGACATTGACAAAGCAAATGAGGTGTTGAGTAGCATCTGGGTCAGAGAGGAGATAGGGAAGTGATGATGCTTTCCATCCTAGGGTGCTGTCATATCCATGATCCATACAAGTCCCTTCCACTCTCAGTTATTGTCCTCCACCCTCAGTCATAGTCCTCCACCTTCATCTATACTCTTCTGTCTCTAAATATGGACCTCTGATGTCAGGTACATTCCTCTGCCCATGACTCAATCAAGGTATGAGGTACACGTCAGTCCATTCTAAGTTCCCTTTATATATTCCACTTTCTGTCTAGTCCTAGTACCTTGTATCATCTGACTCTCCATTCCAATTAAGCTTGTTATATACTATGGTTTGTTGTCCCTTTTATTATTACTGTGTACTCCACTACATTGTGCCATATAGCCCAGATTCCTATAGTATATAAACCTCATGTATTCTGGTAGTGTTTCTACAATATGAATATAGACTCTAACCTATCCTAACTACCTCTGACTTGACTTGAGTCTTCCTCATTGTCTACTCCAACCTCAAGACTATGTCAGAAATTTGCGAGATTGGTTGCAATGGGCTGCTGTTAAGATGTTGTTGACATGTATATTGAAATGATATGATAAAATTTTGCGTGGAGTTTCAATGGGTTGCAACACCTTGCAACTGGCCTTTTCCTGCCTGTGCACTGATTCTCAACAATAAGAGGTAGCACTTCACTTTTTTCTGTTCATATCATACCCACAATACCTCTATGTACCCCTTATTCATATCCTTGTATATTTGTGTCTCAAAATGGCCCCAGAGTGGATGAAACTTTGTGATATATGTGGGCAAGAAATCTGACCACACAGCTGGAGCACTCACTGAAAGGCCTGTGAGAGAAACCTAGAAAAAAACTTCGAGACAAAGCTATTGCAAGTGCCATTTGAGCGAAGGGTATGTTGACTTGCATAGAGCTGAATTACTTGCAATAATATCTGCAGCAGGGGCTAATTCTGAATCAGCACTTTGACATGCAACATCTCAGACTGTCCATGCAGCAGGTTCATTGAGGCAGCACCAGCCTGAGCATGAACCATCATCTCGTGAATGGAGCATGCATGACAATGTATTTATTGGTATGTGACAACATCTCATAGTGCTACCTGTCTTGCTACTAATAATGCTGATATGTCATCGGCTTACAGATCCCTCGCACCCAGAACCCAAACCCTCAGTAGACGAAGATCATATGTTTGTGGAGGATGACATCAAGGTCGAACATCACCCAAACAGTGGCATCAAGACCAAGGTTTATGCATTTGAGGAGTTCCAGTGTCGTCCAGTGGTAGCAACTTCTGATCCCCCGCCTAACAAGAAGCCATGGCTTCCATTCAAATCTCGACTAGAATTTGAAGTCACCCAGATAGCTCTCGAGGCTGCGCTGAACAATGAGCAAACCAATCGGCTCATCAAAATCTGCTGCCGGTGTACTTTTGGGAAAGACAAATTCACCTTCAAAAACCACAAGGACATTCACAAGAAATGGGATGCAGCATCTCAACATGTCACAGGGGTGGTTCAATTTCTTCTAATGGTGTCCACGTGTCTGACTTGTGTAGTTTAGTTCACGAAAGAAGTGATTTGATGACATATGAGGATAAATCATGGGATTTTGAAGTACATTATCAGGACCTTTGGGAGTGGGCTGCTGACCTTCTTCGAGACCCGCGTCTTTTCCTGCATATGACATTCAATGCACAGCGCCTATCAAAATTTGATGGCGAAAACTTTGTATGATTTATGGATGAGCCTTACACTGCAGAAGCCTTCTGGGACTTTCAAGTATGTATTTGAGTGGTTTTGACTATGTAATGTTTTCAAATGTCATGTTTACCAGTCGCAACTGCCTGAAGGTGCTAAGCCACTGACTTTCATACTGTATGCCGACAAGACCAAGTTGTCAAGTTCCAGTGCTGCAAAAGCCTATCCTGTCATTGCTCGGTTAGTGAACTTGCCTACAGACATATGCAATGGAGAGGGTATAGGTAGTGGTTATGTTGTTGGCTGGCTACCAATTGTATGCCAGGATCTTTGCCACTATAAGAATGTGCAATGTTGTACTGACATTAGCTTATTTGTTAATAGGTGAAGGAGGACAAAGAATTTGCAAAAAAGCCTGGTTGGGTTAATTTTAAAAATAAAGTTTGGCACGAGGCGTTTTCAAGAATCCTCTCATAATTAACGTCAAAATCAAAAATGGGACAATGGTTTGAATGCTTAGACCGTCTCTCGCACTGGTTCTTCCCATCAATTCTTATTTTGTCAGCTGATTACAAGGAACAGTAGGTATCGATAACTATAGCTATTTCTTTGTCACTGACAGACCATGGTTACTGAAAATTATAGATGTGTGATGTTGTTGATTTGAGGAGTACAAAGTCTGTGGCTATGCCCTATTTGCCTGGTCCCTCGAGACCCGCTCTTGGATGCATCAAAGAGATATCCTCTTTGAACAAGCAAAGGCTCACAGGCAATCGTCAACTTAGCATGAATGAAGCACACTTTGGAGGAGAGAGAGAAAGGAGTATGGACTTTGTGACATGGATGTGAGCATTTCTCAACCTTCCTGAATCTTCCTTTTGACTACATATATTGACAGAACTCACTGTGGCTAATACACCACACAGATGTTCACTGAGCACTGTCATATGATAAGCTTCATTTCCGTGATGGTGGCCTTTTTGATGACCATCTTTGGGTTGAGTTCCAGAAGTTCCTGAATGGCCTTGGGAGAGACACCGTTTCTCAGATTGACAAGAGGTTTGGAATTCATTCTTGCAACTTATTAAAGCTGACATGTCTTGCAGGTTTAAAGAATTTCCGCGCTGGCGTAATCAGAAGCACCCAAATCAGGTCATGGACATTGCATTTACCGACAGCTCCATACCTGAGAACATTTCAAAGGTTTGCGATCTTATGACTGTTCTGTTTGAATGGTGCTGATGACTAGCCAGATGATACCATATGCTGCGCATGATGTCATGACAGAGGAGGACTGTCCGCTTGGTTACCTGCTTCTTCAGTGCATATGTCTGTATATTGAAGTTGACATGTATGCATCGTTAGAAGTTCACACGTCAAATACAATTTGTGAAGGGAGAAATGTAGTTGAGGTACTCTCTGTGTTCTTAAAGGTATGTTTCTGGCATTCTGACATCACATATTATTGACATATATACAGCAATATATTGACAAAACAGTGGATATTGAGGATAAGGGTTGGAACTTCCCAAAACTCGATATGGATGTGCATCTGTTTGATGACATTGAAGCGAAAGGAGTCACATGGAACTACAACATGAAGCCAAATGAGAAGATGCATGGACCATTGAAGGATTCATATTTGCTGCAGACTAACTTCCAAAATGTTGCTGAGCAGGTCATGCTATTTTTTCATTGTACAATGTAACACTCTCTGAACTTGTATTTAATTACAGATTCTGCATGTAAATCACTGGCAACTGGTCACAGACGATATTCATTGTTGTCTTTCAGACTTTGATGAATATCATCGCTCACAAGCACAAAATCAATCCGCTGATGATGCACTTGACGCTGCAGACGACCTGATTCCACTGACAGGTGTTCTCCATGTGAAAGTTGGGTCGAAACAACCCCCACAGACTTTTGACTCGGTTGAGAATGTTTACTGTAGTGACAACACATTTTCAAACTTCCACACCAGACTCAATGACTTTTTGAACGACTTCTTACCTGCTTCCAATATACCTCTACCACAAGGGAAACAGATTCACCTCCGAGCAAGTGATGAGGTACAATTGTTTCGTTCAGCGCTGTTATTTGCTACACTGATTTATGGCAAAGATAACAGAATTTTGCTTTTTGAAAGTCAACTATGAATCAATGGTTGATTGGCGGCAGTACACTGATTATCTTCGCTGCAGTCCACAATTCTTCAGCACACCACATTTTGACTGTGTTTTCATTCAGATGACTCCAAAGAAAGTGATTTTTGGCCGCCTTCTCTTTGTGTTCAAGTGTACAGTTGGGAAACATACTTTTCCTCTTGCCTTGGTGCACCCATTTGACGCTCCTACTAGTGTACACCTTCGCAAGGATAAGAACTTCAATTTATTCAGAGTTTGAGCACACGCACGAGCACAGTCACAATTTTTCTCGGTCAGGTCAATAATATGTGGAGCACTTCTGGTTCCAGATGGACCATTTGACCATCTGGTGGTTGACACCATGGACACTGATATGTTTGTTTGTATGAGGGAGATGCACTTGGAGGCAGGGCATCTGGTGCATGCTTGATGGATTTTGATGATTGGAACAGCGAGGTGCAGCACCTTCACACCAATATCAGTATATTTTCATGTTCATTGACATGACCTCTGTAGGGATCTACCAATTGGTGCTACGAGGCTATGTGACTCCACCATGCTTCTCCATCTGTATTCTGCATCATTGCTTGGTGTTGGTTGTTCTCCTGACAAGCTCCACCAACATATACCTTGCCATCAAACAATTTGGCAATGTTCGCATTGGTCCTTGCCATCAAACAATTTGGTGATGTTCACGCTGATCCCCGCCATCAAACAATTTGGTGATGTTCATGCTGGTTCTCACCATCAAACAATTTGGCGAGATTCATGCTGATCCTCGCCATCAAACAATTTGGTGAGATTCATGCTGGTCCCTGCCATCAAACAATTCAGCAACGTTCACACTGGTCCTCACCATCAAACAATTCAGCCACATTCACGTTGGTCCTTGCCATCAAACAATTTGGTGACATTCACGTACTCTTATGTGACTCCACCGTGCTTCTCCACCCTCCAATGCTTCACTACCTCCAGTGCTTCTTCATCCAACTACACCCTTCAGCACTCCCCATCATGTGGTTGTGCTTTGGTGAACATTGATGTGTTAACAGCGGTCATGTAAGCAGGCCCACCTTAACTGCTTCATCTCAGTGCTTACAACTGCATTCTCATCCTCTAGCACTTCCCCATCAAATACAAAACACTCTGGGCACATGCAGTTGCCAATGATACCCTTTACATGTGAAGGTTTGCGCCCATACCTCTCTTTTTGGTCTAGCCGCTTACTACCAGCATACCTCATTACATGTATGTGATCACTCAAGTTTACCACAATGTAATATGACTGATGGTGTTTGTTATTAGGCGGCACTGGACTCTGTCATAAAAAGTCATGTAGGTGGCTAAATTCTCCTTGCACTCCCCTTCCTGAAACTTATGACAACCTGATGTAGGAAGCCAATTGCTACTGAGCTAGTATCCCCTATCTTTCCAATCCTCTCCGACCCACTTTCCTGTGCTGCCGCTCCACATCGATGTCGGCCAACAATCGGCCCAGTCGGTCATGATCGATCCAAGTCAGACATCATCTGCACACACAATTGGTCACTGTCCATTGTCTCATGTTATTGGCCCGTCGTCTACTGGTACGTATATCTCTGACTTTGATCGCTTTCCATCCCCATTTGCATAATCAGACCACTTATCAGCCTTTTATCTCCCTACCTCACACCTTATTACATGGACACAGAGAAACAAGTATTTAGCGATCCATGGGGCATCTTAAGCGACCCGAAGTTTCCCTTCATCGCTTAGTCTCATTTACTACATATTCCACCCATGTTCTTAGTAGTTTCTCTAGCAAATTCTCACTTGGAATGATTTCTTGTGTGATTTCTCATTGAGTCGTCAGTCAACTCTCTTAAATGTTCGCTCATTGTACTACACATGCACCTCCTCTATTCCACTCATTTACCACTCAGGTCCACTCAGGGCCGCTCTCTCTTTGCTCAACTTCACTCGGCCGAGTTGGCATTGGCATACTGGGACGGTCCCGATGTTGCTTTGATCCCTGGACCTAGTGCATCAAAAGGAGAGCTTTTAGATGTAAGTGATGATCGAATTTGGCGTGCACTGAATGACAGTTATATTTTAGGCCCTCAAAGCACTGCAAATTGATGTTCAGAAGCTCCGTGAAGAAAATAGGGCTCTCAAGGAAGAGAACAAAGTTCTGCTTGCAGAGAAGCCCAAGCGCAAACGGAAGGCTAATGCAGCGCCTCCTGAAGAACTCATTGCCCATGAGACAGTGATTGTCATCAATGCTCGCAAGTATGGAATGATGATGGAGATGTTTCCTTCCAAAGACCTTCTCAATAAGCTTCTGCCTTCATCTCCAACTCCTTTTGACAGTGTAGATCGATACAAGACTGTGCTCACACAAGAATCAGCATTCTTGGATGAGCTGTACCATGGCTTTCCAGTGCAGGTGCACATAGTTATGGAGAGCTCTTATTTTGCTGAGCTGGTGAGTAGTTTTCTTTGCTGGACTTATGTGCTTATTTATACTATGGTAGGTACTTAAAAGTATCATGGACACCCACTCAAGTGAGATCAAGAAGCTACAGAACGTTGCTGGCATGATCTTTGACCTTCCCTCAAAATATTTTACCGACATTAGTTATGATCGTGCTGGTGTCCCTGAAATCCAAGAGTTGCTTGGAGTCATGTCTGCAACCAACCTGACATATATGGCATTCCCACCAGTTCTTTTTCCCGACTTGATCAAAGACAAGTCTCTCAAGACTGTGTTCGGAAATTGGAAACTGTTAGTGCAGGTAAGACAGTTGTTCTCTTCTCATTCGCATGTCTCACAACACACTCAGATATTGAAAGCGGCATTGCATGGTGTTACATCACTTCACCAGGGTAGCAGTCATGGTGGTGACGCTCACACAAATTCGCAGAAGTGGGATATCTACCAAGTCATGCCAGGATTGATTGCATGGGCAGCCGTCATTGTACAACAGAGTTATCTTGTCCTTGCTGTTGGATTCTCTCACTGACATAATGACACAGACAATATTTTTCCTCTCACCTGACACTGAGTTTTCTGGTTCAGGTGTGGGGAAGAAATCCAACATCAACTACAAGGAGCTTTTCTGCAACTATAAGAGAGTTCTTGTCACAAAGTGGAAGAGTAAGCGCATCAAGGAGATCATGACTAAGATCAACAACTATGTTTTCAGCACCACCACACAAACTTCAACCATTAATGCTGATCATGAAGATCATACTGATGCTATCAATCAGGCCATGGTGGCACTTGATGTGGATAGTGACGACAAGTCAGTGGACACACCCACTCATGGCACACCCAATACAGTTGCAGCTGCAGAGCCTGCCTCCGTACCGCAGCTCATTGAGAGTATCTTGGGGATGTCTGCCCTTAGCAACATTGATGAGAGTGGAACTGATATTGGGCCAGACACAGAGATTGATCCTGTCATTCAGGAATTACAGGCTGTGGGAGGAGGTGAAGGCAGGGGAAGGGGAAGGGGAAGAAAGAAGAAGGCTGCTGCTGCATCTTCTGGAATCACAGCGACTCGTGCGACTCATTCTCACAAATAGTACTATTATATCAGTTTCATTTGAATTGTGTCTTGTAATTGTTCCATAGTTACTTTGATTACACCACACTTTTGGTATTACAAGTATTAGGACTCAATTGCTATTCATATACAACCAGGGTTTACCTATATACAAGGCCCTATGGTGTAGCAGAAACTATGCTCAAGGTAAGTACCAAATGTCGCTATAATAAGGAAATATTAACTTGGATAAGTCTTAGGCCTTGAGTTCGAACCTCGATAACAACAAAGTCTAAATGGTCGCAATAGGTCAGGTAACAAGGTAAGCTAGCTAAGATAAGATAATGGTACCCAAGGTAAGATAAGTTAATTGAAAGTTGACTCACCTCCTAACAAGATAACAGTAGAAATTGCAATATTCTATTTTTGTTACAATGCTTGCGGGCTATTTCAAGTCATTTTAAGCCATTTACATCAGCAACCCAAATGAGTGATCCCAAGTTGACTAAGGTCAGTTGCAATACATTGCAACCATTGTAACTGTTATTTACATAAGCATTTCAAGGACAACCTCTGTTAATACAAGTCATTTAAAGGTCCGCTCCCGCTTTAGATGTTGCAAGGCACTGCAAGGCCCTGAAATTCAAATCAGGAATTTGTGACATAGTCTCACTAATCTCCGCCTCTGTCTTCCAATAGTCCTTGTATTACTTTCTACATTGGACTTAGTCCCTCATAGCCTTACCTTTGTTGGAGTGTGTCAGATGTAGTCCCCCACAACTGTACCCCTGTTGGAGCATGTTGGAGTTGACCTTTGGCAAGCCCCTATCCATCCTCTGAAGTTAAGGGCACTGTACTTGCATAAGAAGTGCAGCACATAAGCTGAAGCTAAGCCCCTCTATAACCTCCTTCCTACCCATTAGGCACAGTTATGATAGGCACAATTGAGGATGTGATATTGGTGTCGGTAGTGCTAACAGTCCAGAAGGAAATGAGAGACTGTCTCATCAATATCTGGACAGTGGGGGTAGTGTGGGGATGGGTCTTTGTCAATGCAGTGCAGGTGCTGGCATAGGGGGATATGTTGAGAGCAAAGAGCCATATAGAGGCCAGTGAGATGCTTTGGGAAGTTGGCTGTGAGTTTACCAAAGGAACATTGGAGTAGCTTGAGATCGAGACAATTGATTCTGTTAAATCAAAGGGATTTCCAGCAAATTCTGCCCCATCTAGTGGGTGTTGCTTGAGAGTAAGCTGCTTTGAGATTGCCCCATCTCATTTATCACTTCAAGTCTATTCAAACCCTTGTCTTTGCAGCTATGAGTTTAAATCACAAGAAGTTCATCAACTTCACTGCTTATGCACAATGGCTATGCTAGGAAGAACCTCACTCCAATGCATTACCCAACATTTTAAAGGTCATCATTGTCTACATCGACCTCAAGCTGGTGGACCACCTGCCTGGTGAGCCATTTGTATTATTGTAACCCTCAGGACACTCATCATTATCTAGCTGTTTCTCAATAATTGTTGTCTAGTTCATTAGTTGGGTCCCCACATTTATACTGCACCCACATTTGCACTGGTACTTGCACTTGTGGCTGCACTTGCACTTGCAGCTGTATTTGCACCTACAGCAGGACCTGTACTGGTAGTTGTAATAAACCTTACTACTTGTAAATTTTGATACATATTTCACACAAGCAATTATAAACTGTCATATCATATTAGTATTAGAGATATCCATTATCACATGACAATTTCCCATATTAATATGTCTTTTATGTCTTACTCTGTACTGTAGTTAACTCCTATATGCACTTAACCTTGGGCTGTTGGTTTGCCTTTACATTCATTTTATGCGCTCAAATGCCTCCTTAATGCTATGTTTCATGTGCTCATGTGCCAGACCAAGCAGTAATAGCCAATTTCCTATATTGCCCCCCTCTCAATATTGCACCAGTAGATATGTCCAATTTAAATGCAGAGCAGAAGGGATGGTATGGGCATGTTCATTAGTGGCGATGTTGGTGCATATCCTATTCATTATGGTATACTACACTCTGATGATGTAATTGCAGGCACTGGAGAAACTTACCTTATGCAGTTTATCATTGACAGCCTTCACCTCAAGTACAATAGTTCCAACACTGTAAGTATCATGTCTAACACTAGTGTTTTGGCGTTGAAGATTGGCAGTAAGTCCTTTTGCTACCACCCTGAAAATTCTCATAATACATCAGGGTAAACTTAAGTCTGTCAAAGACATGGTCAAGAAGATAGAGTGCAGAGACATCATTAAGGGGAGGTGGCTGTTAATCAAGGCATTTGTTATAGATGAACGTATGCCCTCCTCTTCTTCACTCATTTAGATTCTCAATCATAAATTAGTTCCCATGATTCCAGCAGAATACATCAACATGTTAGATGTATTAGCACATAAACTTAAAGCTAATGACATACCATTTAGAGGCATGCAGGTTGGTCTTTCTTATGCACTATGATTTACCCTAATGTCATATTAGATCATTAGGGTTAGAGATTTTCTGCAGCTCCCTCCAGTACTATACCCCAGGCTCAAATTAATGTTTCAAGCCAACTGCTAGAACACAATATTTCCTGCTGTGGTTCATCTAGCTACTGTGCAACATTAGTTCAATTATGGTGAGGACCTTCACTACTCTCATATCCATTTCTAATGTCTTTCATAGACTTTGTGAACACCTTGAACAAGTGCTGAACTGGCCAACTGGATGACCAAAGTGTTGCCTTTTTTAGATCCCTGCAAAGACCAATACATTCAATCTTCCTGCCTCACATTGAGCTAATCTACCTATTTCCTACATGCAAGGAAGTCTTCTAGCTGAACACTCATTGCCTCCATGAACTCAGGGGTGCCTCATGGATATTCTCTGCCCTTGACAACTTCCTGAGGGGGATGAATAAGTGAATCTTCAATGACTTTCCTGTTGAAGTGAAGATCCATTTGAAAATGGGAGCACAAGTGATGCTACTATAAAATGTTGGTGATGGTCTGGCCAATGGTTCTACCAGTCATGTGGTTGGGTTCTTTAAACCTGGACAAGCTGACTACCACCATGCTGGTCACAGAATGGGATTTCTCAGAAATATTAGGGTCAATGCCAATGATTACCCTGATGACTGCAACATTGTGTCTCCAGCTGAACTTGCAGACATCAAGAATTTATACCCCTTAGTCAAGTTCTCCACTATGTATGGCCCAGAGTGGGTGCTCATGTTGTCTAGTGAGTTTAGTTTCAAGATCAAGGACAAGACAGTGGCCAGGTGCTTCCAGGTATATGTGGTTTAACTTGTCAGAATTATTGCTAAGATCAACCTAGATACCTTTGTGCCTGGCCTGGGCTCTTACTGTACACAAGAGTCAAAGTCAGAGTCTCAATAAAGTCATCATGGATCTGGACAAAGCTTTCATGAATGGCATGTACAGTCATGTCATCTAACACAAATATTAGTTTTTTTAACTAGGGTAAGTATATGTAACATTGTCTTGGACTAAGTCCAAAGAAGGCCTTGAAATCAGGCACTTCAAGGAAGCTAGAGGAAGTGTAATAGGTCATTGAATCTCATTTTATTCACTATTGGACAGGTCAAAACCAACAAAGAGGTGGCTGATTGGTATTTGACCACCCTATGGGTCCTTTGATTAAGTTCATTCTTTATTATTTTAGTAGCTTTCATGATTTGCCATACACACTAATACCACATTTCCAATAAGGGGTTCATACTACCAAATTATGAATATGCCCCCTATATTGGGTAAGATATAACTCACTTTTGATTAAGGTATGTTCAGTGGTTGTAACTTTGAAGCCCAACTTAAACTGTCATGCCAACATCAACTATGTATGACTTGCACTCCATTGCCACTGAATTTCTGTGTCCCCTGCACAAGACCTTGCCCAACAGCATGTTATCATGCACCCTTAACAGTCCCATCATCCTCAAACTTATTAATGACCCTCTCATCATTCCTAGGTCCTTGTAAACCACAGGTAACTTCAATAAGTGTAAGCATACCCAAGAATCTGATTACTGACTTGCAGCCAGCCCCTGGTACACTTACATTCCAGTTAATGATTCTTTCCCCCAAAATGATGTCAAGTCATGGGTGTTCCAAGGTTCAATCCCCCCTTTGGAGTTGTTGGCTCCCACCTTCAGACCTGGTGGTCACATTATGTCAAGCTTTTTATAGAAAGTGGAAAATGTTATAGGGGACATCATCCACTGGTTACCCATGGTGTACACCATCTGCAGTCCTTCCTGTCCTATCCTGACCCTTCAACCATCTGATGTGGAACCACTCAAGTCTTTTTGCAGCTCCTACAATAATCCATCTATGGTACAATGGACAGTCCACCATTCTATGTTGATTGCTTGGGGGTACATAATCTACAATCTCAGCATCATGTAGGATTGGCAGAAAAATAGCATCCTCAATAAAGATTTCATACCAGAGATCATATTGTCTGAGCTGTTGTATCTACCTCACCAAGGGCTCATCATCAATGCCTAGGATCTGCTGCCTTTTTCAGATGTCCTTCCATATCTCTGGCATAAAGTCCCTATCTTCTATTATTGGAAACCTGGCTGCATATGCTAGCTGAACCCTACAGTCATGCACTCTGTGGGACTCTTTCCAGAGTCCACCAGCAGTGTTCTTGTATATGATGGTGGGGTAGATGAACAGGAAGTCATCCAAGAAGATCATCTACTGTCAAATCATAAGTTTGTTTAGTACATTTCATAAATCTCCCAGCTTACCATATTGACTGCAGCTCTAGAGTCTGCCTCCCCTCATTCTCCTGCCCCAAGCTATCCCTCTTCCCCCATCTCATCATTTCCCTTCAAATTTGTTCCTAGCGTTCATGTCATAGATCATTTCAAAACTATGGTTGCCATTGATGATGACAAGACACAATGGATCCTACAGGCCTTCAACATGCTGCACACATCATTTAATGCAAGCTTTCACACTTCCAGAGTTCCCCTCCCTGACCACCTCACCTTCATCATGAGTGGAAAGCTAGCAGTTTCTAAAAGAACTGAGGTCAGACACCATTTATGATGAACCTAGTATCCTACCATAACAAAGGGTACCTGTTACAGTTCTTCTTTCCCCTATCTTGTTTGCTTACTAAACCTTCCATGACATTCTATATCATTCTATCATACGATTCCTTCATCTCTTTTCTCATTTGCAGTCGTATTATTGTATGACTTTCTTTTCTTTTATCTTATTTGAAGCTCCGCTTCAATACCTCTATTTAAACCATCATCTCTTACCTTGTATACTTAACTTGACCTACGCAGACCAGGGCCTGCAATCTACTGCTTAACTCGCACGACTAGACACTAGGGTGTCTCTAGAACTTTCAACTACTTTTGTTTACTAAAAGACGTCTGACAACGTTGAGCATAACAAAAGGTCAAGTTATCTTTCAGAACCACTGCTCCTAGAGTAGGCGACCCATCAGATCACCACGGATCCCAACAGAAACTTTCCAGGCTTTACCTGGAACGAAGAACGACAAACATTTGTCAAAGCCGCCTCTAATGGTAACGTCTATACCATCCACGAGTGGACAGACTCCTACAGAGCTAACCCTGAACCAGACCATCACTCAGACTTTACCATCAACAGCTGGGTACATAACAACATCCCCAAATCATCCCTAAACACCCCTGTCGTTCCAACCCCACCACTTCCCCCAGTAGAACCAGTTAACCAAGAAGTTGATATCAACTCAGACTCAGACCCAGACTCAGACGACAAAGACAACATGCCTAAAGTCATCGGAAACACCCCCTCCCCTTTCTCTGGCGATACTCGCACTGTACAAGGATGGCTCCTCCAAGTCGAAGCCTACTTGGATATTAACGATGGAGTATACGTCATGAACAAACAGAAGATCGTATTCATACTTTCTTTGATGACGAAGGGCGAGGCTGCCAAATAGGCAGAAGGTGTCTTTAAGAAGGCAGTGGCCAAAGAACCTAACAATTACGGACTGTGCAGCACCTTCTTCCCCAATAATGTTAACAAATCTGCCCTCCGTCGACTCTCCACCCTTAAGCAGACAGGCAGCATTGCTGCTTACACTTCCATCTTCCACACCATCATCGCCGACACAGACGTAGACCAAGAATCAATCAAGATTATGTTCTTCAAGAACGGTCTCAAGAGAGAAATCATCAACACCATCATGGCTTTCCAGACTCTCCCAGATATGTTAGAAAGCTGGCTAACGAACGCCCTTGAAGTAGAATCATGCCGCTTCATCACGAACCCCTCCTCCAACCATCGCTTGCGTGACTCTAACATGATGGATATCGACCGTATTGAGATAGAAGAAGGAGTAGACGAAGAAAGGCAGGTGAAGAAGACTTACCTATCTCCCCAAGAACGGGAATGCAGGCACAAGAACGGCCTCTGCTTCAAATGCGGCAAGAAGGGTCTTATCAAAGACTGCCTGAACCATCCTGCCTTTATGCCAAGGCCGCCACAGACTGCCGCCAAGAAGACAAGCAAAGACGATGAAGACGACTACAAGGAGTTCTTGGAGTGGAAGGCGTTTAAAGCGCGCCAGGCTAAGAAAAGCAAGGATAAGGATTTTGCGTAGAGGAGACTGAACTGGCATCAGCATCTCCTAGAATCGGACTAGTAGTACAATCAATTGGTGACTCAAATTCTATGCGTTTGCCATTAACTTTTGACTCTAGCCCCAATATCGCCAAAGCCGCAGCTCTAATAGACTGTGGAGCAGAGGGGGAATTTATTGACTGGATGTTCATCTGTCGAAATTCCATCCCTACCAAACAACTCCCAAGAAAAATCAAAGTCTGAAATGTAGATGGAATACTTAATAAGCAAGGTCAGATCACACATGCTTGCACTTTATCCTTTTATATCAAAGGAATTCCCATGAAAACACACTTCCTTATCACCTCTCTAGGAGGCGAGGACGTAATTCTGGGAATATCCTGGCTAAAGAAAGAAAACCCTCAGATTAATTGGACGAAAGAAGAAGTAACCCTTAGAGAATGAAGCACCTATATCGAAGACATCAAAGAAGAAGACTCCTTCTTCGATGCACAGGAATCCCTCGAAGACGAATGGGATCCCACTGCAGAAAGTATTCCATATTCCTCCGACATCCCTAAACTCCTTGACCCTGAACCCACTGACGAAACAGAAGAAGAATTAGACCCTGATGAATTTCTGATCACATACTGCAAAGGCGATCACATCATAGGGACTTATGAAACTTTCAAATCCCCTCTTACTAACGAACATATCCCCACTGACCACAGATACTTCTCGATTCATGGAACCTTAGTCAGGAAAACAGACAACATCTCCCAAACCTTAGCCCAAGATGCCACCAAACCGAAGAAAACCTTCAAAGAACTCGTACCTGAGATCTTCCGGAAGTATAAGGACGTATTCGGAGAAGTAGCTAACAGAACTCTCCCACCAGAATGCAAGTTTGATCATAAGATCAATCTCAAAGACACCTTCGAACCATGTAAATGTAAAATTTACCTGCTTAACCCCGCGGAAGAGAAGGCCATGAACGATTTCATTGACGAAAACCTTGCTAAAGGCACCATTATCCCCTCCAAATCACCGCAATCATCCCCATTCTTCTTCGTCGGTAAGAAAGACGGCTCCCTTAGACCCTGCCAAGACTATTGCTATCTGAACGAACACACGGTTAAGAATAACTACCCACTTCTGCTAATCTCAGACCTTATAGATAAGCTAAAGAACGCGAAGATCTTTACCAAAATGGACATCCGATGGGGATACAACAACGTCTGACTCAAGAAAACTGATCAGTGGAAAGCCGCTTTTGTGACAGCTAGAGGACTCTTCGAACCCATGGTAATGTTCTTCGGCATGTGTAATTCACCCGCCACCTTCCAATTTATGATGAACAATATGTTCGGATATATGATCCAAGAAGGGTGGCTTATCATTTATATGGACGATATACTGATCTTCTCAGACAATTACGATACCCACCAGAAGCGTACTCACTGCGTTCTAGAACAACTCCACAAACACCACCTATACCTCAAACCGGAGAAATGCACCTTCAATGTCGAAGAAATCGAATATCTCGGTATGATTATTAAACCAGGATTGGTAGCTATGGACCCAGCTAAACTAAAGGGAATCTCCAAATGGGAAACCCCAAAGAAAGTCAAAGAAATCTGCTCTTTCCTCGGATTTGCTAATTTCTATCACTGTTTTATTGCTGACTATTCCACGATTGCCCGCCCCTTGATAGATCTCACGAAGAAAGATATGCCGTTCGAATGGAACGAAGAACGCGACTCCGCATTTCGGAGATTGAAATCAATCTTTACTTCAGCCCCCATCCTTCAGATTCCTGACTGCCTTTCCCCCTTCACCATAGCCACAGACGCCTCCTTATATGCCACCGGTGCAGTATTCCTCCAAAAATATCCTAATGGTGAATGGCTTCCCTGCTCATATCTTTCCCAATCCTTCACCCCCACCGAATGCAACTACCAGATCTATGACCGAGAACTC